TATCATGAAGTCTGGCCTCTACCTCCTTCCACCTGGCCTCTACCTCCCTTACAAACACACACACACCTTCGGCACTAAGACCTCTAGCAAAATCTTCCTGTAGTAGTAAGAACCTGACGCCCTCACAACTGTCCAGCGTCACTACACGGGTGAACGAGGACTTGACAATGAACAACAGATCGTGGCAATTGTCTCCTTGTAATAAGAACAGAACGAAATGAGGCCAAGGAAAGTCGAAATCACACTGAGACTCGACCTTAACCTACACACGTTCATTCATCCAAATTTAAGAGAAAAAATCAAAATAAAAAGTTAACAAAACACCTGAAGAATGATGACAATTACCGCTGCTGTCTCGACCCTAATATAGTGAGGTGTTCTCGAAACCCAAACACGTTGAGACGCTCTACCCGGAAGATGGGTCTTGTTCACCACATGATGGGTACTGAGACATGTATACTGCTTGTGTGGGGGCAGTGTGTGGGGGTGTGGGGGTGTGAGGGGTGGTGTGGGGGGTGTGAGGGGTGTGTGGGGGGTGTGAGGGTGGTGTGGGGTGTGAGGGTGGTGTGGGGTGTGAGGGTGGTGTGTGTGGGTGTGGTAGTGTAGGGATGGGGGTAATTGGGGTGGGGTATGTGTGGGGGTGGGGTGTGTGTGGGGGGTGTGGGGGTGTGAGGTAGTGTGGGGGTGTGAGGGTAGTGTGGGGGTGGGGGTGTGGTAGTGTGGGTGTGGGGCGTGTGGGGTGTGAGGGGTAGGGTGGGGGTGGGAAGGTGGGGTGGGGTGTGAGGGGTGTGTGGGGTGTGGGTGGTGTGGGGGGTGTGAGGGGTGGTGTGTGGTGTGAGGGTGGTGTGTGTGTGTGTGTGAGATCCTCTGAGTTGAGCGATTTTATGGATGACAGACACGCTATAAACGTCTTGGTTTGTTCACACACACACACACACACACACACACACACACACACACACACCAAAACAGCATCCAGCCAACAACCAACCCATAAACTGGCCACTCAGGGTGGGTGTGTGTAGAAGACATTTAGTTCATGTGTGGGCCAAAACACTTCATCCCCTCCCCCCACCCACCCCACACACACACCATAAACAACCTGGTATAATCGCCACGACCCTGAAACATCACTTCCTAACACTGAGTTAATGAGACACAAACACGACTAATTATATACATGTCCTACACTTAACATTGACGACCAAACACACACCTGTACTGAGAAACTGTTAGGTGAGATCCAGGTGAAGGAGCTTAATTATACGTGTGCATGGAGTAATAATAATCCTCGCTACAAAACTCCAGCTCCAGGTTCGCATCCCCTTCTAGAGAGGATTGGTTTATCTGGTATGTGTACATCGTGAGGTAATTATTATTATTTTTATTTTTATTTTTATTTTTATTATTATGCTCCTCCCATAAGAAAGACCTTGTTTTATCACCCTGTACACCTGGTGGCACTGCACCACTCTGTACTGTACACCTGGTGGCACTGCACCCCTGTACACCTGGTGGCACTGCCCCCTGTACACTGGTGGCACTGCACCACTCTGTGTACACCTGAGTGGCACTACCCCCCTGTACACCTGAGTGGCACTCCACCACCCTGTACACCTGAGTGGCACTGCACCACTCTGTACTGTACACCTGAGTGGCACTCCACCACCCTGTACACCTGAGTGGCACTCCACCACCCTGTACACCTGAGTGGCACGCCTCCTGTAACACGACACCCTGGGATAACATGTTAACAAGACCACTGATCATTTGTTAATCGGAGATAACAATTTAACAAAGTTGAGAAATCACTGTAAGATAACAAGTTGATAAGATAAAGTTAGCCCAAGACGACAAAGTAATTCACGATAACAATATAACCTAATAGAACAATATAACCTTTCATAACGAGATAATCTATGATAACAAGATAACCGTAGCCAGCCAGCAGTCCAAGGTGGAGCATCAGCTGTGTGTGTGAAGAACCACTAAAGTACCTTCAACAACTACTTTTATGAAGTATGTATTATATTTCCTCAACCCACACAATAAAAACATTATATGGTGGGAAACATCACCCACCACCACCATCCATCACCCACTACCACCATCCATCACCCACCACCACCATCCATCACCCACCACCACCATCCCCTACCATCACCCACCACCACCATCATCACCCACCACCACCATCCATCACCCACTACCACCATCCATCACCCACCACCATCCATCACCCACCACCACCATCCATCACCCACCACCACCATCCATCACCCACCACCACCATCCCCTACCATCACCCACCACCATCATCACCCACCACCACCCACCATCCATCACCCACCACCACCATCCATCACCCACTACCACCATCCATCACCCACTACCACCATCCATCACCCACCACCACCATCCATCACCCACCACCACCATCACATAAGAACATAAGAATGGAGGAAACTGCAGCGGGCCTATTGGTCCATACTGGACAGTCCCATTTACACCCAACCCCTATCGCTCACATATCCATCCAACCTATGTTTGAAGCTATGCAGCGTATTAGAGTTAATGATGATGTTTGGTAACTTGTTCCAGTCATCCACTACTCTATTTCCAAACCAATATTTACCAATCTCACGCCTAAATCTAAATTTGTGTAATTCAAAACCATTGTTACGAGTTCACTCCTGGCTGGATAGTTTGAGTACCTTTGTTATATCACCTTTGTTTAGCCCTGAGATTTATACACCTCTATCAAATCGCCCCACACTCTACGTCTCTCGAGGGAGTGCAAATTAAGAAGCTTTAACCTGTCTCTATACTCAAGGTTCCTAATGCCCGGGATTAGTCTTGACATTCTCCTCTGAATTCTTTCTAAGGATTTTATATCCATTCTGTAGTACGGTGACCAGAACTGAACCGCGTAATCCAAGTGAGGTCTCACAAACGCAAGATATAGTTTTAGGATGACCTCGCTAGTCTTGTAACTAACACTCCTTTGTATGAACCCAAGTACTTTGTTAGCCCTGTTTCGAGCAAATACACATTGTTTACTTGGCTTAAGGTTCCTACTTATCATTACTCCTAAATCTTTCTCACTGTCGGATTTCTCAATAACAACGTTGTTCATCTGGTATCTGGTTTCTCTGTTTACATCTCCTAGACTAAGTACTTTACATTTGTCCACAATGAATTTCATCTGCCATTTTTCAGACCATTCGAAAAATTTGTTTAGATCTTCCTGTAGTTTTGCGGAGTCCTCGTCAGATTTGATTACACGCCCTATTTTAGTGTCATCTTCAAATTTACTTATGTTGCTGTCTACGCCGATATCTATGTCGTTTATGTATATAATAAATAGTAATGGTCCAAGTACTGAGCCTTGGGGTACTCCACTAGTGATGTTACCCCAATCGGATTTAGTGCCGTTAAAGCTTACTCGCTGTTCCTGTCCTGTAACCACGCCCTAATCAATTTTAGAATATCTCCTCCAATGCCATGAGCTTCCACTTTTCTAATTAGTCTTTCGTGGGGGACTCTGTCGAAGGCTTTGCTAAAGTCGAGGTATACCACATCATAATCATGTCCATCCTCCACTGATTCGAAAACAGCTGAAAAGTATGTTAATAGATTTGTCAGACAGGAACGCCCACTTGTGAAGCCACGTTGAGAATTTCGAATAGAGTTTGAAATTATTGCCTCCTGCAATTTGCCTACAATTGATGTTAAACTGATTGGACGGTAGTTAGAGGATAGTGATCTATCTCCCTTATTGAAAATCGGTATCAAATTCGCTATCCTCCAGGATTCTGGTACTACACCTGTTTTTAAGGACATGTAAACAACTTTGCTAAGGGCATACTAAGCTCTTCCTTACATTCCTTTAATACTCTGGCAAATATCTCATCGGGACCAGGTGACTTATTAGGCTTTAGTTTGTCTATTTGCTTACTAACATCGTTACTAGTCACTACTATCTTGCTTAATCTATTTCTTCACTATCTCTGTATAGAGTCGGTGCCTCGGGTATCATGTTTAAATTTTCGGTGGTGAAAACTGTTGAAAAATATTTATTCAGATTATTGCTCATTTCTCCGTCGTCATCAGTTAGCTCGCCGGTATCTGACTGTATTGGTCCAATCTTTTCTCGTGTTTTAGTTTGATACATTTGGTAGAATCCCTTGGGGTTTGACTTCGCCTCCCTTGCTACCTTCAGTTCATTATTCCTCTTTGCTGTTCTTATCTCGGTCTTAACCCTACTGTCCAATACTACCATCATCCACTACCTCCATAACCACCATCCACAACCCACCACCCAACACCACAGTAAGTGCGGCAGGGTAGGACAGTGTTTATGATAACGTGCAACAGACGTGGCTGACACTACCCAGCTGCCTCCTCCCACAACACACACACACACACACATATGTATATGAATGAGTGTTGAAAATATTAAATACACTGTTACTATGTGAAGGTTACATTATAATAACAGCGTCTCCCTCACCTAATTAACTGCGAGAGGAAAACAACTTGGTGTATGTATTACGCCTCACGCCCTTGAGTATGATGGTAGCTCAGATGAGAACTGTGTATGATGACAACATTTCTTATTATCTGGCCACGGGAGAGACTGAGTGGGAGGGAGGGTCAGCAGCACTAGTTATCAGTAGTAGTGGAGTGATGTTACGAGTACAGTTGTTATGGTGCATTATGTAGTGATGGTTGTTACAGGCTGGACCTTATGTAACGGTGTACAGCGATGGTTGTTACAGGCTGGACCTTATGTAACGGTGTACAGCGATGGTTGTTACAGGCTGGACCTTATGTAACGGTGTACAGCGATGGTTGTTACAGGCTGGACCTTATGTAACGGTGTACAGCGATGGTTGTTACAGGTTGTATGTTACGTGCCTAAAGAAAGGTTTGTCTTGGTAACGTTAAATAAGGTAAGGTAAGGTTTAAATCTTTTAGGGAGATGGTTTAAAACTCACCTGGTCAAAATACGCAGAAAGCATCATAGTGAAGTGACGCACTGGTGTTACGATACACTGATGACGTGACGCACTGGTGTTACGATACACTGATGACGTGACGCACTGGTGTTACGATACACTGATGACGTGACGCACTGGTGTTACGACACTGATGACGTGACGCACACGTTTTACGATACACTGATGAAGTGACGCACAGGTGTAGCAATGCAGTCCTTATGACGCACAGGTGTTGCACCACACAGATTAGTGACTCACAGGTGTTATAACACTCAGTTGTTACAATGCACAGGTGTAGTAACGCACAGCAGCGTCAAGTGAGGGAGATGACACGTGACACTTGGTGGTTACGGAGGCCCTGTTACTACTGTGGCACACACACCTGACACACACACACTCACATGTGACACACACACACGCGTGCGCACACACACACACCTGACACACACACACACACACCTGTCACACACACACACACACTCACACGTGACATACACTCACACGTGACAAACACACACACCTGACACACACACACTCACACGTGACACACACACACACTCACACACACACACACACCTGACACACACACACTCACACGTGACACACACACACACACACACTCACACACACACTCACATCTGACATACACACTCACTCATACCTGACACACACACACACACTCACACCTGACCACCACCACAAGATGCCAGATAACCACTGTGGTATTGTAAGGCTGAGAGGAGCCAGGGAGCGTGTCGTCTACTCTACGTTGGTGGAGGCTGCCACACCCTTAGCTCAAACTACACACAGGTACTGGAGCACTAGACCCGCTGCCGTCAGGGTTCTACTGGAGCCTCTTATAGTATGGAACACTGGAAAAGCCCAGTAGGTATTGAAGCACCAGTCTGGCCTACCGGGACGGGCGACTCAGCGTACGTCTCGCACTGCCGCCTGCTAGTTGCCAACTGACGCTGCTGCCCGGATCTCTGCCTGCCACACGTGCGACCGTCATATATGTAAACAAACACTGCTGCAGGTATCTCTCTCTCTCTCTCTCTCTCTCTCTCTCTCTCTCTCTCTCTCTCTGGAGGCAGGTGTACCAACATAACCATGATACCACAAGCCCAGGTGTATTTTGTTCATCCGCTACAAGTGTCTAGTAGTATTTGTGTTAAGCCCCCCCGAGAGACAGAGGTAGGTGGAGGTGAGATTAAGTTGTCATATTTACGGCAATCACTAGTGGTGTACCAGTGTCGCTGGGTAATGTCTGGTCGCTGTACGTTCGGTCGCTGGCAATGTTCGGTCGCTGGTACCGTTCGGTCGTTGGGTACTGTCTGGTCGCTGGTAATGTCTGGTCGCTGGGTAAATGTTCGGTCGTTGCAATGTTCGTCGTTGCAATGTTCGGTCGTTGGGTACGTTCGGTCGTTGGGTACCGTTCGGTCGCTAGGTAATGTTCGGTCGCTGGGTACGTTCGGTCGCTGCGTACTGCCTGGCTCGCTGGGTACTGCTCTCGGTCGCTGGGTACTGTTCGGTCGCGTTGCACGTTCGGTCGCTGGGTACCGTTCGGTCGCTGGGTAATGCTCCGGTCGCTGGGTACGTTCAGTCGCTGGGTAATGTTCGGTCGCTGGGTAATGTCTGGCCGCTGGGTAACGTTCGGTCGTTGCAATGTCTGGTCGCTGGGTAATGTTCGGTCGCTGGGTAATGTTCGGTCGCTGGGTAATGTTCGGTCGCTGGGTAATGTTCGGTCGCTGGGTAATGTTCGGTCGCTGGGTAATGTTCGGTGTATGTACTCTTACCAAAACACTGGGAAGCAAAATATAATACCAATCCTGCAGTATTTTGTTTAATATTGTAGAGGTTAAAACAGGTTTTGGTACGGGGACACGTTGACCTCTGACGACACTGATTATAATGGGGTCACGGTATTTAAGGGGATGCGACCAACTACTGACAAAACAAAGCTGAACTAATTAAACTTAACTCCAACACTAAACACTGACTGACAAACATCACAGAATAAAACACCTTGACTTACCTGTGAGTGGCTAGTCTTCAGGTGATCTTTATATAAGGTTAACAAGAAGTGCACTAATAGGTCTGTACTGTACCGTATCCCACAAACGCTGCAGGTGTCTTGAAAACGATAATATATTAAGTAAATAGTAATTGTATTAATACCGACACACTAGTAAAATAGTCTTACTCACCTGAGGGTCGGGGGGGGAACAGGTGGGTAGGGGGGGTTCCCTCACACACCGTCAACAAGTGCCTTCCTCCACAAGTACCTGCCAGGAATTCTCGACTCACTTAAGGTATTATGGTGTGTAAGTGAGACATATACCTGGGCACACCACACAGTTATCACCACAGAACAACACCTCAACACCACGAGACCGACGACAACACCACCCCTTACACCAGTAGTCCAGTACCACCAAGCCAACGACTACCAACCTAAACCATGTTTGCAGGTCGTGGTTCTTCTGGTACATTATGGCTCAACATAAAAACAATAAACTGTTACTACACTTAATTTTCCTAAACCAAATAATACCAGAATTAACAATATTTTTATAAGAATTACATAATATTTAACATGAACTGAAAACAAATCTCGATAAGATAAACTTTAACGAGAATTTATGATCGATGGAAATATAATTATGGTTTATGTTAAATCACTAATAATCTATTATTTATTAAAAAGAATTTAATAATAAAATAATAATAAAATTTACAAAGCTAAATAATATTACTAAATGTTAATACTAGAGGAAAACACCTTGAGTACGATGACTTAAAACCCTGAGTACGATAACTTTACACCCTGAGTACGATAACTTCACACCCTGAGTACGATGACCTAACACCCCTGAGTACGATGACTTAACACCTTGTGGTGTAATGGTCAGCATGCTCGCCTCGCAAGCGAGCGGACCCGGGTTCGATCCCCGGGCAGGGTGAAACTATGGGCAAGTTTCTTTACGCCATTTGCCTCTGTCTACCCAGCAGTAATTGGGAACCTCGAATTGCGGATCGTGTTCCGGGGTAATGGTTAGCCAGTGCAGTTGGCGAGTTGTCCGGTCTTCTCGGTCTATTCCTTGACACAAATTCCCTGACACAAGGTCATGCAGCCGTTAACTCTAGGTGTGGTTATAAAGGTGACAGCTTCTACACCTTTTAAACACTGGCCGCGCAACCGTTAATTTAGGTGTGGTTAAAGGCGATAGCTTTACACCTTAAACACTGGGTCATGCAGCTCGTTAACTCCAGGGTGTGGTTGGGTTGTGTTGGTGACAGCTTCACACTCAAACACTGGGTCATGCAGCTTGTTAACTCAGGGTGCGGTTGTTGTGTTGGCGACAGCCTTGCTGACCTGTAAACACTGGGTCATGCAACTCTGTTAACTTAGGGTGTGTGGTTGCTTGTGTTGGCGACAGCTCCTACATCCCAAACACTGGGTCGCGCAACTCGTTAACTCAGGTGCGGTTGTTGTGTTATGACAGCTTGGCCACCCAAACACTGGGTCAAGCAGCTCGTTAACTTAGGTGTGGTTATTGTGTTGGCGACAGCTCTTACACCTTAAACACTGGGTCATGCAACTCGTTAACTCAGGGTGTGGTTACGGTGTTGGCGACAGCCTTACACCTTAAACACTGGGCAGTCAAGTAACCCCTGTTAACTTAGGTGTGGGTTGCCAGTGTTGGCGAGCAGCCTTTACACCTTAAAACACTGGGCCGCGCAACTCGTTAACTTAGGGTGTGGTTATTAAAGGCGACAGCCCGTACACCTTAAACACTGGCCGCAACTCGTTAACTCAGGGTGTGGTTATTAAAGCAGGGGACAGCTCCACACCTAAAACACTGGGCCAAGTGGCAACCTGCTAACTTAGGTGGTTGTTGTGTTACGACAGCTTCTACACTCCAAATACTGGGTCATGCAGCCTGTTAACTCAGGTGTGGTTGTTGCTGGTGACAGCTTCTGGCACTCAAACACTGGGTCATGCAGCCTGTTAACTTAGGGGTGTGGGAAGTATTGTGTTGGCGAAGCAGCTCCCTACACCTAAAACACTGGGTCATGCAACCTGTTAACTCAGGGTGTGGTTATTGTGTTGGCGACAGCCCTACACTCAAAACACCGGGTCATGCAACCCAAGTTAACTTAGGTGGTTGTTAAAGCTATGACTGCTTCTTAAGCACTCCAAACATGGGTCATGCAACTCGTTAACTTTAGGGTGGTTATTGTGTTGGCGACAGCTACTACACTCAAACACTGGTCATGCAACTGTTAACTCAGTGCGGTTATTGTGTTGGCTGGCGGCCTTACACCTTAAACAGACAATGTGCAACTCAAGAATCTCATAGGGTGCGGTTGTTGTGTTGGCGACAGCTTCAAGCACCTTAAACACTGTCATGCAGCTCGTTAACTCAGGGTGTGGCTACAGGGTTGGTGACAGCCACACCTTAAACACTGGCCGCAGCCCGTTAACTCAGGGTGTGGTTGTTGTGTTGGTGACAGCTTCAAGCACCTTTAAACACTGGGTCATGCAACTCGTTAATCTCTCAGGGGTGTGGTTATTGTGTGTTGGCGACAGCTCCTACACCTAAACACTGGGTCATGCAAACTCGTTAACTCAGGGTGTGGTTGTTGTGTTGGGTGACAGCTTACACTCAAACACTGTTTATGCAGCCTGTTAACTCAGGCTGTGGTTGTTGTGTTGGTGACAGCCACACCTTAAACACTGGGTCATGCAGCCTGTTAACCCGGGTGTGGTTGTTGTGTTGGTGACAGCTTACACCTTAAACACTGGGTCACAGCTCGTTAACTCAGGATGTGGTTGTTGTGTTGGTGACAGCTTCTTGGCACCTGTAAAAACACTGGGTCATGCAACTCGTTAACTAGGGTGTGGTTGAAGATGACAGCTTCACACCTAAAACATCAACAGCAGCCTGTTAATTTAGGGGGTGTGCCATAGTTGGCGGGCAGCTTCTACACCTTAAACATCAGTTTGCAGCTTATGTTAACTCAGGGTGTAGTTGTTGGAAGTTGGCGACAGCTTCTACACCTAAACAACACTGGGCCGCGCAGCTCGTTAACTTAGGTGGTTGTTGTGCTGGCGACAGCCACACCTTTAAACACTGGTCATGCAACTGTTAACTCAGTGTAGTTTGTTGTGTTGGTGACAGCTTCTACACCTTAAACACTGGGTCATGTGACTCGTTAACTCAGGGTGTAGTTGTTGTGTTGGCGACAGCTTTTACACCTTAAACAAATTCACGCCTAGGTGGCGTACTTAAGTACGATGACTTAACACCCTGAGTACGATGACTTAACACCTTGAGTATGATGACTAAACACCCTGAATATGAGGAAGGTAGAGAGGGGGAAAAAGGAGGGGAGGAGGGAGGAGGGAGGGAGGAGGTAGGAGGGAGGGAGAGAGCAGAAGAG